TTCATTTAGAGGTTCTTTTTCTATTTTTATTCAGTTCAGCATCAACAATTTCATTATCAACCGCTTTCAATTCACCAATTTGATCAGTTTGTTGCTTGAGCGCTGCTTCCTTTATGATGGAGATAATTGGTTTCTGGCAAGAAAAAACGATAAAAATACCGCAGCACTTCTCTTTTTGTTGGGATACGTGACAGAGTAATCAACACTTTCGTTTCAACTTCAAGGAAATGAAGATTATGCAGAAATTTTCTCCACTTCTTACGAGTGTTATGAAATGAGAAAAACTTCAGATTGCTCCACGATTTTCAAGGCATCAAAGTAGACTGTGCGAGCAAGCGTCGCTTGTTATATTTATTAGGTTGGCAGGAAAGTCCTGCGACACTTTTTCTTTGATTTTAATTCTCTTTTTTGTTTACTCTGACCGGTCATATATCTACCATGAGTGTCCACCACTTGTCTTCAACGCTCAGAAAATTTCTTGATGCTCCTTTTCCAAAACCCAGCGGAGTGCGGGTCGAGAAAGGAGGCGACCTCACTTTCGAGTTGGAGTTGATCGTCTAATTATTTCGTCATCAAGATGATGATTTAAGGTCCAGGATAGGTGCAGTCATTTATAGCTCGACCAGGGGAATACGCTAAGAGAGGTAAGAAATCTTGCCGCAACTCCAGAATTTCTTACCGGGCTCATTTCGGATCATGGTGATTCGCAATGTCATGAAAGAAATGAATATTGTCGCGGTACGAGGGCTCTTGACGAGCTGCCTCGGCCAGCTTCTGGAGTTCCACAGCCTAGACCTCTACCTACACAATGGTGCCCATAACGAAGAATTGTAGTGGAGCTTCTGTAAGAGCCCTACCTGTAATGGAGTGTAGGGACGCTGCTGGCTTCTTATAAAAATATCAAAAGATCGAAAGCGCTGGTAAAGGTGAAACACGCTGTAGCGGTGAACGACATGCCTATTGAAGCTATTGCAGATAGTGTTGGTCTTTGACACGAATCCATAGTTATGGAGACATTTGTACTAGACAGTGACTCGGAGTATGGATTTACTAGTGGTCGAGGTTTTTTGAATTTTCTTGGATAACTACTGACTGCAGCACTTATATCCACCTCGTGGATTGAAGCCTCGAGAATGCTCTACCATTTGTTAGTCATAAATGTTACCTATGATTTTTCAGAAAAAAAGAAAATTTTAGAAAGAGTGTCGCAGAACTTTCTTGCCAAGCCTAGTAATTTCCACTCATTACCGCCGTTACGTGTGACCTCCATGACTCTTTTCTGTTTTAGCTGTAACCAATAATGTAACAGCAATCTCATTAGTACCCAAATATTATTATTGATTCGAATCAGGGTTATTTTAAGAAAGGAGATCTATGGTATTGATTTCGATGTCCCTGTGCACTAGTTCTCGTTTTACGCATGAAGACGACTGTTTCACTCAACTGGCGTGGAATGTCTTTTGAGGATCTTTATATGGCAATCCGTTCACCTCAGTATATCTGTCTGACCATTGGGTCGGCATATAACGTTTGAGACACTTCACATGTATTGTTGTAAAAATCTTTTGATAAGTATTGAAGCTTTCCAAGATGTCCTGCAACCAGCACACAAGCTCGCCTATCCGACAGGCTAGCCATCTCGTTTGCTTGCTTCTTTAACTAGGATTCCAATTTTTCAAAGATTGCTTCTAAGCTTCTTCATGACTACCAATTAGGATCTCACACGCGCCAAGCAATATGGAGAGTTAATCAAAGGATAGATGAGGATACGCTCTCTCAAACCACGTACTGCTGTGGTTGCCTCTTCAGGATTCCTCCTTTTTTGAAGATGATCCACACTCCAACCACCCGTGACTGGCAATCTCGATGCTCTATCCGGCGCCATTGAAAGGAATCTGAACAAAGTGAGCGCTATTTGTCAGAGCGCTTTTGGTGTGAAGGTGAGAGTACTGAGACATCTCGATAAAGTCGCTAAGGTTTGAAATATGGAGTTTGTCTCTCACATGCTCTGAGCCCGAATCAGCTCTAACCCGATCTGACATCATCATGTTCCGGTGGTTTCCCATGGTTCCTTCGAATGTTCATCCAGTATACTCACCGGTACTGTGGACTGGATGCAGGGTCAACCGCCGTCGCGCAAAGAACAGAGGGTCGTATTCGGCCGACCGAAAGGGGAGGGGGTCGTATCCACAGAGACGGGCTGCAAGACGGCTTGAAAAGTGCAGTGTCCGGGAGTGCACTTTTCTAATGTTCTCCAGGAGCTCTGCACGCTGTCGGAGAGTCACACAGACAAGAGCTCCATGGGAGCATTAGAGCATGCAGAGCATTATAAGTGCAGGTGTAACAAAAAAAGCCTTCTTTGTCAGGGGCCGTGAGCAGACAAACTTCCAAAGAAAATTTTGATGCTTTCAAATCAAATCTAAGCGGAACAAAGTGTAGCGAACTTGCTGAATTGAGTTCTAGAAACCCCTTAGGAAAATTGAGGCAGAAGAAAGAATTTCAGGGAAATTTCACAGTTGTTATGAAGTACTCTTCGAGTGATTCCAACAATCTTTACCGCTTCTCATCACATTAATTTTAAGGAAGTTATGGGCCTTTGAAGACTGCATAGTCGCGGTCCAGGAAAATGGCTTGAAAAAATCAAGGTGAAAAAACGGAACAACGGGACTATTTTTTGAGCGAGTGATTATTTCAAAAAGTTTTAGCACTTATTCGAAAGCTCTAATCTTCTAGTTTCTAATTAGCCTTAGACATCTGCAAAAAGTTGATATGAAGAAAGTTATGAACGTTTGAATGTCGAAAACTCGCGCCTTCTCAAAAATCGGACCACAAACCCCCAAAACGGAACAACGGGACTATTTTTTGAGAGAGTGATCGCTGGAAAAAGTTTCAGCACTTGTTCGAAAGCTCTAATCTTCTAGTTTCTAATTAGCCTTAGACATCTGCAAAAAGTTGATATGAAGAAAGTTATGAACGTTTGAATGTCGAAAACTCGCGCCTTCTCAAAAATCGGACCACAAACCCCCAAAACGGAACAACGGGACTATTTTTTGAGAGAGTGATCGCTGGAAAAAGTTTCAGGTGCTTGTTCGAAAGCGCTAATCTTCTAGTTTCTAATTAGCCTTAGACATTTGCAAAAAGTTGATTATGAAGAAAGTTATGAATGTTTGAATGTCGAAAACTCGCGTGTGCACAACGGACGATTTTTTGAAATATTGAACATCCGCAACATTTCAAATACTTTTTAGGAAGAAAACTATTTGAATTTTTAAAATTTTGGTGTCCGGTTCCATGAGACCGCTTCTGAAAAAAATATAACCTTCTGAATGGAGGGGTTTGGATTGCAACGTAATTGCTACAAGGTTTAGTTTTTCAGATTATAAAAGTAAGGAAATTGAGAGAAAAAAAAACCTTGGTGGGTTTCTGAAAGTAGAAATCTTTACGATTAAAATGATGTATTGGTTTACGCAAAAATTTGGAAATTCCTTCTATTTAATGAATAAAACTTCATTTGCCTCGATTCCCTCCTCTGAGCGAGACAAAGCGCGCGGATTGACCACGGTCCACCACTTCTCCATGTTGGTGACTGCCCATACATCAATGATGAGCATTAAATTATGTGAAAGACATAATAGTTAAATACGGGGGGTCGTACCGATACCCTCCGAAAAGGAAGGGGGTCGTAAAAATTTTGGAATTTGCGCAACGCAGGGTTGACCCTGACTGGAAGCAGTGTGAACGAAGTCAACGAACGAAATTAACGAATCCAAAAGCCGCAGTGGCTGAGCTCAAAAGAATCTTCCGTGGAATTTTTGCATTCCTCTCCAAAATGACTGTGTCAGTTGTGATCACTAGAGGCAACACACAAAGTTTCACGCATGAAGATTCGGTTTCCGAAGAGAAACAAACTCACAAAAACCACTCTATGGACAATCGAAGGTAATTCGGCGGAGCCAAAGGCGGGGCATGGAAAGAAGTCCGCCTTGGGCGGCTACGTATCAGGCGACGCAATGAAAGAATCCGGGTAAAGCGTGCGATTTTGGAGAATAGAGACAAAACGATCGATAGAAATGATGCAGTAGAAGTGTGAGATGTCAGTGCAATAAGTCAAAAGTTCAAGAAAGAGTTTCTAGTGGAAGCACTACGTGAACCAAGTGGAAGCGTCGCGCCGTCAGCATTTGTGACGGGATTTTGAACGCGTAGCAGTCCTTTCGTTTTTCGAATTTTTACCAAAACAAATGCAATTTTTTGTTCTTTTCATTATTATCGTGATGATGAGTCTCAAGCCAGTGATTTATGGCTAGCAACAAGATAGAGTCATGTTTTTTCCGGGGAGGATTCCTTCAAACTAATCAAGAGTTCTGACAGCAAAAGCCCAACTTCCTCTGAATTCTACCTTCCTGAGTCGTTGGCGGAATACGAGAGGGGCTTTGCGCTGAGGAACCGGCACCAACTAATACCAGTGTCAGTGATGAAGATAATCGTCGACAGCTTGATGGCACGCCTTCAAACTTGAAAGCAAAGTAAGACAAAATCTATTTTTTTCTGAGGTCGTTCGAGTCCACCTTGCTAAGAAAATTCATGAAAAATTGGAGACTCTCGGGCGGTCAGTTCTTTTGGCTCCGCCTTGTAGCACTAACCTTGTGCCAACGAACGACCATCCGCTCCTCTCTAAATCACCTTCTGGAGAAGAAATCTCACTTGAATCACCATATGTCAAAATCGACATCCAATTTTTCTTCGATCAGAACTCTATGAAATTCTACAAGAGGGACACTTAACGCCTCCTCTAGCGCAGATATGTTCAAAATAATGATGATGTATGCTAAGATAAACGTGAAAAAACACGTCAGAGAGACAAAATAGGTAACTGAATCAAAAAACATCCGAAGCGTCTCGAAATTAAGTGCCGACCATACAAACATTTTCACAGACACGTGAGGTCGGTTGCATGGTCAGAATATGGACAATACAAAGAAATACTATCTCGAGAAATTACCTCTATTCACTAGATGTGGATAGTTGTGCTCGACTATATGTGCGATATTGAGCTTCACTTGAGTTCGGAGATCGTCTCTGGGCACAACTAGTTGGGCGTGAAGGGGGTAACAAGCAGACATCCAGATCTCCTGCAGTGATGGATCGGCACCGATATCTGATAACACTGAAAAACGATATTTATATAGCCTTTTCATTCGGTAGCTTCAGGCGAACCTTTTTCAGAAGAGACAGGGACACCTGAACGTTTACTTAACCCTACGCTTTCATGAAGTGCGCCAAAATTACTTGCCTAAATAACAGATTTTGTAAAGCTAAAATTATGTGTTGAGAGCTCATTGTCAACAAAAGTCAAGAGTGGAATGCCATACCCCCGTGCGTTTCGTATGTTACTCAATACAGTAGCCGGCTACACTCAGCTTCACTGAAGCCTACGTTGACATGGACGAGGTAGCGAGCGGAGCCAAGCTGGTAAAATATAAACATGGTTTCGAGGGTATTTATTGGTGTCTTATAGCAGCAGTTCGAGCACGGTTTTTGCCTTTGACACTAGTAGTGTGGAACGATGCGCCAGTCCTAGTCAGGAACATAAGAAGTTAAAAACAATAAACAAAAGACTGAACAAAAAAAACTCGCCATGGAAAGCTGCTAGATAGGCGGCAATCTCCTCGGCAGATTCGCAACCACGCTCACATCAGAAGCAGTCCAGATCCCTTTCCAGCGGCTTTCCAAGGTGAGTTTGTTCATCACACTTCTTATGTTCTTGACTAGGGCTAGCGCATCGTTCCACACCATTGGTGTCTAAGGTTAGAACCCTGCTAGGACTGTTGCTTTCAAGGCAAAGTCTGGGCTCAGACACAGTTAATTACAGTCGACATCTCGAAGTCTGATTGGGCGTGTCACCGGAAATGACGTGGCAGCCACCGCACTTGATAGAAGTTGCGCGGATAAGCTGCTTCCAACACGCTTTGCTGATATCTGGCGGAGTATTTTATCCACACAACATCTATCAAGTGCGGTGGCTGCCACGTCATTTCCGGTGACACGCCCAATCAGACTTCGAGATATCGACTGTAGCGCTTGTAGTGGTTAGAAGTGCATGGGACGCAGCTGCAGAGGACGTGCCACGTCCCGCATCGAAATGCGTCACTAAGGCGCTAGGGGCCAAGGACTTTGACACGCTCCACCTGTTGCGACACGCTCCGCCCACCGCTCGATATCTTGTCTGCGTCGCAATGCTTGATCTGCTATGCTCTCTCTACTCGGACTTCTCTACCGCTCTCCGCGCTCACATTATCTCTCATCTCCCTGCCGGCCTTTTGAACTTCTCCGCACACGTAGAGCAAAAGGCTCGTATTTCCTGTGTATTTCACGATTTTCCTTTTTTCACTGGCGGTCCACTCCCACCCCTACTTCACATTTGAGTAGAATTACCTCATCAATTCAATCCCGAATCTTGCCTTCAAATTGAAAGCCCAGTAAATGAGCCACAGAACGCAGCAAGAACAAGAAAGAGGAACGAAGCGGATGATAATCAGCTCGATGACAAAAAGCTGAGTAAGTGCATAGCGATACAGTCTCACGAACACTTGCCAGAAAAAGATTGGAAACAGCTGACTTTCCAGTAACTTTTTACAACGTTCGTGATGCTGGCCAGAAAAAAATATCTTAGATATTTATGCACCCATTACGCTTTCTTTTGTAAGCGCTGCAGCCTGCATTTGGGTGCTGTTCAAGAGAAATGGAACCTATCTCACCAGTCGCAACATTTGGCACAGCCGGTATAGTCTTTGTCAATCGTAATAAACGATCTAGTGTCACATTCTCCAGCTCCAATTTCTTTATCGTCTCACTGTACTTACAAATCAGTGGACAATCGGTTTTCATGTTCTCCAGAACCTTAAAGAAAATATTTCATAACACCAAGTCGACTGCTGTGGTAACAAGCTTCTTTGGAAATGAATAACGTACCTGCAAACATCTGATCACTCTTGAAAGATGGTACTTCAAGCACACGTCAATTTCCGCGTTCCCTGTACCAGTACCTTTGGCTCCACTTTCCGTGGATTCCCAAAAGCGATCGCTCTCCAAATACATCTGCTCCATTTCAGCTGAGTCCAGCACCGCTCCTAGCGATTTTCGGCGCTCTTTAACCTGAAAATGTGCTGAGTGGAAAAAATTGGAGATGCAATGTTTACACGGGTGTCGCGACAAGCACAGAAGCGTGCAGCAAGCGCCAACTTTGATAAAAACTTTTTTTGTTATGATTATCCTTTGATGCCCACGTTCACGCAAAAAAGAGCAGCTGTATAAAACTTGTCCGAGCTAATGTCACCTGTTTTACACGTTTGCCATCTTTACGTCCATTGCTTTCATTGTATTTCTTTCGCGTACCATCACTTGCAAACGGAGAATGGTTTTGACGAAGCGACTCGATACCACTGTCGTTTTCGGAGCTGAAATCCAAGGAATAGGGAAGTAGGAAACGCAGTATTACCAATCATCTAATGGCCGAGATGGCCAAAGGTAGGTGAGCTTGGCATCGAGAAAGTACCAGATCTGCTCGAAATTTTATGAGAAGATTTACATCTGACGAAAAAACTCATGAAAACCAAGTATAAAACGTAAACAATGATGAATTTAGTGGACTGATAATAACGAGTGTCGAGCGTGGGTATCGGTACGGTGCGAAAGGGATGGGCTTCTTCTAGGTGAGCAGTTTTCAAGTCCCTTAACTTCCTTTCTCTTGTAAGTTCCTTCACCTTGCCCTTCGAAAATGATGAATTTTTCGGAGCTTGATGAAGTTCACCCAGTCACTTTCATATTTCCAATCGTTCGCATAATTCATCAGCTAGCAGCTTTTGTGCATAGTTCATGCTTAGCTCCGTTCTCCATAACACATTCGCATTGTTCGGGGCATTACGGAGTTCGCGCCGTTTACAGTACTCAGTTTTCGCTAAAGAGGAAACTTCGTAGTGATATGGGTTGGTAGGAAGAGCTCTGCAAAGTGGAATCCTACATACATACTATATTTGGGAAGAGAGCTTAACATGACGCACAACATCATTTCTGAAATACAGTGCGTCTCCTAATGATACAGCCAGCCAAGCCAACTTTGGCTTGGCTACTCTTTCCACGGAAAAATGTCCCGGTTTTTGTCAAGGTTTCTTTCCAAAAACACTGCCATTTTCACTTTCCGCTTGAGAGCGAACTTGGAAGTTCTTCACTACTTACCAAGCACTATCCAGTAGGAGATTAAGTTCGAAAGAAGACTCTAATTACGAGCACGGCTTGATGAAATTGGGTGTTATTTTCATAATTCCGCATTAATCTTGATCAAAAAGCAAAGAGGAGCTTTCAGAGCCCTTTCCAGCTTTATTTCCTACATGCAAGAAGAAATTGTTTATCATTTCGTAGCTTTGATTAACTTCCGCGCAATGTGACCACTGGCGCTTACTCTTTCTTTTTTCTGCGACCATTTAGGAATCCAACAACTGCTTTCCTTTCGTGATGACCTAGAGAGAAATTGATGACTACCATCAAATTTCATCGAGCAAAAATGAAATGCAACGAAGAAACACGGGGTGGCTGTATCATTTGGAGACGATGGAAAAGCGACCCTTTTTGGAAAAATTAGGAATAAAATTTTTTCGCATTTCCAACCTGGAATTTTGTGTTGATTTTCGAATTCGCGACCAAATTTGACACAGTTTTCCTGTTGGACATTTTTCCAGAAACTTTGTGGAATTCGAGATTTTGAACAATTTCTAGGTGGCTGTATAATTAGGAGACGCAGTATATACCGCAGAAAACCGCAGCATGGGCAGCTTTCGGATCGATTCGCGAAGTAACAGATCAATTAAATGACCGGGAGCTAGAAGTCTCGGTATTTAACGCCGTAGTGTTGCCTGTAACGCGCTACGTAACTGGAATAAAAAAGGTTTCATGAAGATTAGCCAACGACAACAAAAGCAGTAAAGCTACTTAGCTTTGAATTGAAGGATCATGCCTGAAAGATTCGCTTCTATACATGGCGCAGCATAAATGGCGGTCATTCACTTCGTGGCACTGATGACAGATGAAGTCTACGCGTGACGGAGTGGCTCCCACAAAACAAAGCGAAACCAAAATGACGACCGCCAACTCATTTGGGCCAACTCGTTTTTAAAATTTTCCAGGAACGCGGCCTACAT